TTGTTATTGTAAAATTAATTCAATTAAATATACTTAAAACAGAATATTTTGTATATTTAAGGACGTAAAACATCATATATCTGGTATTTCAAAGGAATATTAAGAAAATATATTGCCTATTTTATGTGACATAAAAACATCATATTTTAAGGATTTTAAGAGAATATAAATCCGACCTCTAGACATCACTAAAAACCAAAATTGATTTTTTCGAAAACTGGTTCCGGTTTTCCTTAATATTTTGTTTGTTATTCCTGACACTTTTGAAAACTATTGGGAATTTTCAATTTTGACCTCCCGAACGCATCAATTGGATTCACTTTCCTGCCAGAAAAGTTACTGTTGAAAAAAATTGAAGCACTTTTACTGCTCCAAACCGTGATGAAAGACACAAATAATTTTTTTTCTTAAACACACATCATTATAAAATCAATACGCTCCCCTCGAAATCTTAAACTATTTACGTATGAAATTTGGTAACAATTTCAAGACTGGACAGTGGACAAATATAAGAATGCAATTAAATCAATAAGTAAAAACAAGTGAAACAGTTTTTGGGAATCAACGAGAGTCCAGAACCACCTTCTCGTGGTGTCCCTAAGCCCCTAACGTAATTATTAAGGGTATCTGCTAAAAACATAATCTAGGAAGGACTAAATTTGGCCGAAACCAAAATCGTATTTTTTTTTGCGGAAACCGGTGATAACAGAAGATGCGCTATTAAAGATGACCGATATAAATAGAAGCATAAATTATTTGTAAAGTTTTAGTTGTAAAATAATTTAAATTGAAATAAATATAACGCATCCTATATTTTTTATTTTTATTTGAAATTTTAAAAATAACGGTTTGTAATTAACTTGAATTAACCATAGATTGAATTGAATCGTTTTCTAAGCGAATGGACATAAACGTCGATAGAACATTTCCCATTCATTTTTTTGTAATCATGGAACCAATTCGTTAAGGTTTCTGTAAAAAGGTAAAAATAACTAGGTTTTTTTCACAACATAATAAACATTTAAATATTTTCAGCATTTATGAATATTAATTTTATAGGCAGCTACCTACTGTGTAAGTATAAGTGTATAAAAATAATAGGTACTGTGTCAGTGTGTCACACACAAGCCTGTGTGTGTACCTATATCTCCCTATAATTACCTGTTAATTTTGAGGACAATACTAATACTAGTTGTTAGTTAAGACTTGTTAATAAAATATTATAGAGGTATACTTACCTACCTATTATCTTACATTGTTATAATTATTGACGGTTGTAGGTATACAAGTATATAAAGAGTAAACACGGCAATTTAAATGTTATCTCAGGCCGCTAAATTTAATAAACTTGAGTAGTTATGTACAAATGCCCCTTCCTCAAAATTGAACAAAAACCCTTGTATAACAGACTTCTCAGAAATACTCTGTAATTATATGGACATACTTTGTATAATCGTCATGTTTATACCTTAGATAGTTAAATCATATTATTATACCTATATAGGTAGTGGTTACTATAGTATATGATATGATCTAAGGTTTACACTTATTATTATTCTTGTCGTACATAACGTATCTAGACCCAATAATTTTGAAAAAAACAGTCACAGTTCTATAATTGTATATTAACACGTCATAACTATATAATATGCACTTTGAAACTACATCAATTATAACTTATGTTTTATTATATTATTATTAAAATTATTAAATTCAAGGTCACAATGTTATTATCGTATCATCACACACGCACACGCACATTGGCGAAACGAACATGGTATTTGAGAAACAGGTGCTTTTCGATTTTTATAATCTTAGGTGTGGGTGGGTGGGTGCTCAACATGAAAATGAAAAACAATTACTTAATCATTATTATAGTAGGCAGATGATAATAGTAATGCTCATAGTACTTCTATTTATTAAAAATTGTTGGTAGGAGTGTGGGTGGGTTCTTGGCTGGTGGATTAATTTTAAGTTGCTGATGGGTTATTTAAGGTTCGTTTCGCCACTGCACACACACACCGGTCACCCCGAAATTTAAGTGATAATAGGATTACATTGTAGACCGCAGAAATGTTTTTTTTCAATAAATGAAACTCATTGATTGACAATAGACTAACAACAAGTGTGAAATACTTATTTTGGCTTTTGAAATTATTGAGGTGGCTATAAGTCTTTCAAAGACATCCCTTTCCACCGGACGGTATGTATATATTTTTTAATGGTTATCGTTTAAATCGACGTCTATAGATTTGCAAATTTTATTTTTGAAATTATTAGGTACTTCAAATTAGTACCTACTTATTATAAATGATTGATATGTATAAAAAATGTTACAAATCTGCAACCTCCCTTCAAGCTTCAGAAAAATGTACTTATTAAAGTACAAACGTTTTTATAGTTAAAATATTTTTTTAAATAGGGGGAAGGAGCAGGTAACAGGTCTGCTGTACAGTAGCAGTCGAGATACTATACCTTCATTGAGTAGGTAATTGTATGATGGATATGTGCTAAATTTGAAATCAATTATAAATGAATTCAATAGGTACATTAAAGATTAAACGATTTTGAGTCGACTGAGTGGAGACGGTCTGTCAGCCTAATATTGTATGATTATATAAAATTTAATAATATAGGTACCTACGTAAAAGTTTCAAATCCAAACGAACAATATTTTTGAATTACACCAAAATAACTAAATCGTTATTCTTCGTTTGAATATCGAATTTTATCCGAGTTTGATATTCGAATGTCTAAAAATAATTCAAATTTACATATCGACCATCGCAGCGAAAAAGGTCGTATCTCTATTTTTTCTGAATATCGCATAGATCAACCAAGAAAGTTTAATACAATAAGATGCAATTACTGCAGTTTTCGTTGCCAGAAAAACAGTGACACCATGTTGGAAAAAACAATTGTAAAAATAGAGATACCACCATAGACATAAAAATTATGTTTTATATTTTTTGATTCCAGTATGAAAGTCCTTACGAAGAGACCTGTGTCTTTACTGATATTTAAAGAAAAAACCATCAAAAATCTTCAAACGTCTATAATTAGTTCAAAAAGAATAAAAATATTTGCTATAAATGCTATCAATTTATCAGTGAAGAAAATGCTAATATAGGTATAGGTACATATTTGGAAAATCCAAGTATACAAATATATTATGCATGGACATACGATTTTTTAATTACAACAAAATATCAAACAAATTTTGAGGAGCAATGGTGAATTCTGAGGATGCGGGCGAATATCCAATGTCGTAATATTTTGAACTACAAACAATCATAAAAATCAACGTGATTTTCAGATAAACTTTTAATTTGTTATAGGTAGGAAAAAGTATAAAGAATCTTGCATTACATTTTCAAATCTTAGTTATAAAAAGAAATATTTTTATAAATTTATAAAATTACTAAATAAGTAATAACTAAATATCAACTTGGCAATATTCGAAAATCCATAATAAATAATATATATATTAATTTAAATAAACAATAACACTCACATATTAATTAATATATTTTATAAATATTGGAGACAATATAACAAAACACATGCAGAAAGGTAGAATATTGATTAATGATGACTACGATAGGTAACAAACATAAATAAGAATATAAATATTTCCCTGAAAATGAAATTATGGATATGGTTGTAATAACAAATTAAGAAAGTGTGCATCACCAGGATGTGCTGGTATTTCATCAAATTTATTTATACAAATTTCTGACAATATTTTAAAACCAATATTAAAAATAGTATACATCCATAGATATACAAAAATAATTAATTATTAATCTAGTGTATCAAACTGGGAATTCAAAACTAATAATTACCTAAGACAAATGTCGAACTATCATGCTGTATCGACGTATCGTTCACCTCAGCAATAGTCAAAAATCAAAATAATAGGAAAATGATCGAAAATTCAACTGTATACCTACATACATTTGTTATAAAAAATAACGTCATAAATGAAAAACAATTTGGATTCAAAGAACAAATTAAAAAACTTATAGTTTTACTAATTTAAAAAAAAAAATTTATATTTTTTATTGCCAGCTTCTTGGCATTATTCATTGTCAAGTGAGTACAAAATTATTTTCGTGTGCCATCGATGACTTGTGTATACGAGTAAGTGCTCAATAGAATATAGTAGCGGTTACTCGTAATTTTTGGAAAAAATTTTGTCAGCCAACGTCAAGAAACAATAAAATTCCACAAAATATTTGTCAGGAATCCTTTTAAGACAAGAACAAATATTATATGTTCGTTAAACTTCTCAGTTAAATCAAATTGGGGAAAAGTACTTATACTTTAGGTAAGCATTTTGAAGGAAAATTATTCTCAAGAATTGCAAATTTATCGCCATGTCTGCCTGCATAAACCAAAGATTACGTTCAGTGAAAAGGGAGATTAGAAATTGCCTACTTTTTGTTCCTTTAACAATAGCACCTAAGAGCTGCAAAACTTTTTGTTAATTTAAGAATAAAGCTACATATTTAATAATTTGCTTCCGAATTTTTAAATATTATCATGTACAGAAAACATTTGGTGAAAATTTCAAATATCTACAATAGTGCTGGGGATAGGAATTTAATATGGGGAGAGTTTTATTATAATAAATACCTACATTTATTCACTTTCCATGTTAAAGGGGAGCTGTTTGAACATGGGGTTCAAACCCCCTCTTTCTATATCTACTGCCCTAATCGACAGTTCTTCGTTTTTGAGTTACAACAAAAAAAAACAAAATCTATTTCATCAAAAAAAGGTTTTGTGTAAATATCCCAATTTTCCTAATTTTTTTTTTGTTTTTCCATATATCTTGAAAAATAATAGGAATCAATATTAAAAGTACCAACTAGATCCAATTTACCATCAGAGACTACTCTAGAAGTTGAAAATTGAAGCATTTTTACTACTACTTTTAATGTATACCGATCCAAAAAAAGACACATCATGGTTAAATCAATCTTTTATGGCTCTGCTCAGAATTTAAAATTATATTTTTTATTTTGTAATTACAAAATGTTACACTCAATTCAAATAACATCTACAATTAAAAAAATTATGTTCACATAAATAAAATACCCACTTTATTAAATAGTGGTATGCTATCAATAACAAAATGTAATCAAAACCATACAAAATTATGATTTTTTTATAATTTATGAAGTATTTACACCAATTATTATAATATTAGTATGTTATTCCTTGAGATATTTGTTGACGATTTCATTCAAAAACCATTCTTCAGAAAATTGAAGATGATTACCAGGAACTGACAAAAAATGTAACCGTCCACTTTCTTCTAATACTTTCAATCCAAGTCGATCCTAAAATACATACAAATTACAAAATATGTTTGAGTTCATAACATTGCTGAATTTGGTACACAATTTATGGATAGGCAGGTACCCAATGTATATCAGCTAAAGTTTCCATATTCATCAAATTCATCATTCAAATGGTTTTTGTCTTAAAAAAAATTAAATTAAAAACTCCTCCAAACTATCATTTACTTTTAGTATTTAATTAAGTAACAGAAAATTAATTTATAACTCTATTTCTATACTCTTTAATTTTTGATTGTTAAAATGTATAGTTATTGATTACAATAGTTAAATGTTTAATCAAAAGATAATAGTCTGAATAAACATTGTTAAGAGATTGATACGGTACAAGACCTGCCAAGATTTACTGGGTTTGCAAAAAATAATTACTTACTGTAAGGTAAAATACAGACTGTTCAAGTGGCATAATTTCTTTATCTTGACCTGGTGAGTAAAATGCAAACCATTCACTTTCTTTTGGAATAACCATTGTATCATTAGTAAACATAACCATGATGAAGTTTTTTAATTTAAGCAAATTTTGACGATAATTTGTATTAATAACGCGCTCATTGTTGATGTCTGCTAAAAATTGGCTACCTTTTATATATTCTGATTCTTTAATTGGATCATGCCAATATTCTGCTTGAACTAATGAATTTTGTACCCATCTAAAAAAATAATACAAAATAATGTAATGACTTGATAATACAATTTAAATATTAGACAATACACATAACGCAGCAATTGCAAATGACAATGTTAGTAGTAATTTATTATACAAAATATTGGTTTAAGAAATGTCATAGATCTAAATAGGAGAATCTTTCAGATCTAGTTCTTCCTATTAAGTACAAATGAAAGAATTGTTACAGTTATCAAATATGCGATAGAAGTACAGTGTAACCTGTATGCAAAGAAGTCACAGAACTATCAAAAGTGTCTGTTATAGACAGGAATCTATTGTTAACAGACTTTAGTATTATTTAAGTCAAACTCACATACCTATCTATTTATACATGGCAATATTTGTAGATATTAGATAACATTTATTGTGTAGATAGCATACAACACCGGTACCCAATTATTAAAGATGGGTTTCATAGAATTAATTCTATTTACTTTGCATAAGCTTCTTTATTCAAAACTAATCTTATATATTCACACCATTTGTGACTAGAATAAAGACATCTTGGCATACCAAAAACTCCTTGATGTTGGCCGCCTATAGATATAAGATTTAACATTGGAGGATTAGGGCATCTTTGTGCAACTGCTCTCCTGAAAGAAAATAATAGATAAATTAGAATGCTCTTTGCATTTATACATCATATATTTTTATTTTACAAGAATTGAGCTCCTTGTGAAAATCCAATAGCATTATAACCACTAGACAACTTTGGATCAATAGATATTTGTTTGCAAGCATCTTTAACTTGAAGGTTAACATTCATGAAAAAACTGTTCTTCACATCCTATATTATTATAAAACAAAAAAAATATATAAGTATTACTTAAATATTTTAATTAATTTTATTTGCTTAGGACTGTATTGCCAAATTAAATTTGAATTGATATGACAATAATTAAAAGTTTTGTAATCATCATGTCACATGTCACATCAACCCAACACGTAAAATTACAGTATAATAAATTTGGATAATAGTAAACATATTAAAAGGTCTATAAATGAATAGTTATAAATATACACAATTGTCAATACCTACTATTTATAAAATATATAAAATCGCTAAACTTATGTTCATATACTAAGCTGTATCTTATCTATGTTTGGTACCCACTTAAAGTTTATTTTATATTTTACCGATTAATTAACACAATTGAGAGAAACTGTGATCATTTTTAAATTTTAATTCAATTATCAGTTGGTAGCAATAGTTGCAAATTTACAATAGATATATTTACTAAACATTTTATTTACCTACCATTAATAAAAATTATCTTTTGAATTTCCTGTTGTTTAAAAAAAAAAATTAATTATTTTTTGCATCATGTTCATACCCACTTGTTGTCATTGATATTAAAGAAAAAAATGATCAATTATTAAAATTGTATAATCTTTCATAATAGTTTTTAATTCTGAGAGTACCTGCTTTGCGGTAGAATCCGATTATGGTTAGTTTTTTTTGCATTCCATGCAGAATTCTGAAACGACGCCCCTGGCCACCAGTAAAGTGTGTCCGCATAAATCAATCACTTTCTTTACTTAGGTTATTTAGAATTTTTATGTAACTATTTAAAAAAATTATTTATTTTAATTACACTAAAAATTATACACCAAACATTCATAATATATTATGATGATATAAAATAAAAATATTTATTAAGAAAATAAAATAAATTATTTTATTATATTAATTTTTGTACCATAATATATATATTATTATGATATAAAATAAAAATTGTTATTATGGTATTTACTTTTTATAACATTTAAAATGTATAAGACTAAATTTGTTTCAGTCTAACTTAATTTGTATATATACTTCACCACTTCCAAGAATGAGAATTAATTTAAATACAAAAATATAAAGACAAACAAATTACAAAATATAATCAAGAAAATTGTGTTTTCAATTTTTAATAATCTCTGTTCATAAATTGTTATTACTAAAATATTCAAAAAATAAACCAATGAAGGGCCGTGAATAAAATTTTTATCTTTAGATTTTTTTAATTAATCAATTACCACTAATATTATAAACAATAAAGTAAAATGAATTTTCCTTACTGTAAAATTTGTTATGTTGCTAGTTAGACAGAAACAACACATGCAGGTACGAGTGTAAGATTTACTCTTACTAAAAAATTATTTATTTTATAAAAATACTATGTTTGGAAGTCAAAGAGAGCTTCCCCCTGGAGGTTGCTTCTGGGTAATGCAAAATAAATAGCTATTATGAAAAAAATAAATAATAATTAAAAAATAACAAAAATTTCAGGCATGGTAAGTTTTGGCAGAAATTTTTTTTTTGTCTTAACGGGTAGTGTCTACCCACTATTCCCAATGGTCTGTACCACTAAAATTTAATTTATTTTATATCGTAACAAAAAAATATATATAATATACATGGATACTGACTTATAAAATGTTCCGTATTTTTAAGCTAAAAATATAACATTTTTACATCTTAGTAATAAAAATAAATTGTAGTGCAGTATAGTGAGGAAAAACCTAAGTAGCTATGGAAAACTCTTCCATAATTTTAGCAGCTTTGTTATTAGTTTTCTAACATTAATAATTTTAAAAAAAACTATTTAATTGATAATATTTATAATAAATTTATAAAAGACCTGTTCAAAAGATTTTCCAATTTGTAAAGACTTCACATAAGAATCAGTTCCCAAGTTCTTCTGTAATACCTTAATAATTCTTCCAAGACTTAATGGGTTACAACAACTGTCACCTAAAATAAAAATATTATTTTGTCTTAATAATAAATATACATAATATTAGAACTTCTTATACATTATAAATCAATACCCAGATCCAGATGTAACAAATATTGAAATATATTATACACAAAACTGTACATTTGTTACTGTATTTACTATATCTTTTTTAATATATTATAAACAACAAGTCAATATCACATGTATGCTCAAAATTGTTTTAGGAAGTACCCACTAGTACATTTTGAAGATTTACGAGTACGAAAACCCAACAAATAGATACAAAATATAATACAATGTAATAAATATTTAAATTATTATGTATAATAATATCAGTTGTAACATACATATTAAATACAATATGTTAAAAAAGAAGAAATTGAATTTTAATTATTTATCTTACCCATTCCATGCCATAACACGACTGGGGGCGAACCAGCATTGATTCGATTAGCAAAAGCCAAAATTGTTAAAAGAATGAAAATAAAAATGTGTGAAAAAAATCCAATTCGATACATAGTATAAGAGGTTCCTATAAAATAAAACAAAAACTATCAAACAACCCAGTAAAATAATAAAAAAAACAATATCAAATTACTTGGAAAATCATACCTGACAAACAATAACTTATTTTTAAATACTAGTAGAAAAAAAATTTGATATACAATTATTGTAAAATGTAAATATTAGTAAACAAATAATAATATTTTTAAAATAATTCAAATTCACTATCAATATACAAAGGTTTTCTCACAGGCTCACCGCCCGGTGTACCTACAACAACTACTATTATATTGTAACAAGTTACTACTTGACAAGGCCATGCCCGGCATGACGTCGCATCTCCTATGGGCTATCATGGTCTAAGCGGCTAACCGATTGACCAACATATATATAGGTGTAATGGGTAGATATAATATGCCTACAGCACATCATAACAATAATCAAAGCATAATTATTTACGTTTCTCACTTCCTCAGGACTCACGGCCAACAACACGTTGGGTCTATGGTTGGGAGCCTGCCAGCAGGACGTGTTTACAGTATGCGTAAAAGCGTAATAAATAATAATAATCGTGGTTGGATGTGGGAATGTTATCATCACTTATCACCGAACAGAGAGAATGTGTCCCGGGATGATAATCGACGAGTTACCGTGAAATGCGACCGTGGTGGAACACTGGAACTTCTTCATTATCAGCGAACCGTTTTTGTTTTCCGTTTTTTTTTTTTTTTTGTGGATGATTCATGTTTTGATTGTAATGAGAAATTTTAATTCGTATTCATTTTTTGCCTGTGCTGTTACATTTTTTACATTTTTTATACATGATTTCGTGTAAGCGTTCCGTCGTTCAGTGTTCGCGTCTGCTGTTAAACTATATCATTACAGAATATTTCACTGCACTAGTCGACTAGTAGTTCTTGTTCCTGTCCAAATTACACTGTCAATGTACAATACCTAATGATTTTGCCATAGATGTCACAATAAGACAGTACTCGTGAACCGTAATTGTTTTACCCCGGACGTCCGCGAACACAATGGCTAAAGAATATGATCATCTGTTTAAGCTGTTAATCATCGGAGACAGTGGTGAGTGCTCGTAATGTTGCCGAATGTTCTCTTTCCTAAGCGATTAGATTCCAATATGTTTTTACACTTAATTAATGATTTTTAAATTGTGTGTTTGTTGTCTTAAGGTGTTGGCAAAAGTTCATTGCTTGTTCGTTTTGCCGATAACACATTCTCTGGTAGTTATATAACGACCATAGGCGTCGACTTCAAAATCCGAACAGTCATAGTTGATGGAGAAAAAGTTAAATTACAGATATGGGATACTGCAGGTCAAGAAAGATTTAGAACAATTACGTCAACGTAAGGGATTGCATATTTGTTCAATTTAATTTGAATTTATGTATATACTCATTTTATTATTAAAGATAGCTAATGTTACATTTTCCAAATATTCTACTTGCAGGTATTACAGAGGTACACATGGTGTTATAGTTGTATACGATGTTAGCAATGGGGATTCATTTGCAAATGTCAAACGATGGTTACACGAGATTGACCAAAATTGTGAAGTTGTCAATAGGATATTAGGTAAATATCATACCTTTTGATTAATTATATATAAAATTCTCTAATTAATGTTAATAAAATGTATTTTTAAATATTTCTTACTCTATAAAATAATGATAATATTCTACCATTCTTATTAGTATCACAAATTAAATTTAAAATGTAAGTCATTTAGACGAGATGATTAAAACTAATTATTGATTTTTGTCTTTTGTCTTTTAGTTAAAATATTAAGTTAATTAAAATTGTTTTTTATTTATTCCCATGATCAATTTTTCAGTTGGAAACAAAAATGATGCCCCAGATCGAAAAGTAGTGTTAACAGAAGATGCTCAAAGATTTGCTGATCAAATGGGCATCCAATTATATGAAACAAGCGCCAAAGACAACATAAATGTTGAGCAGGTAACAAGCATTTTAATTTAATATTGAATTTCATTAATTCATAAATAATTAAATATATTAAATCTGATGTAATGAAAACATCTATATTATGAACTACCTATATAATATTTATTTTTTATTTGTAGACATAAATATACTTTATACATTTTTTGCTTCTCTAAAATATTTTGACCTAAGTAATAACTATTTAAGTGGTAAAATATTTAATTTTTAATTTTAATTTTAAGTTAATATTATTTTAATGAACATCACAATTATTATTTCCTAAAATAGTAAACATATTAATTTACTGTTCTGGTTAGTCACTTCAAAATTTTAAATAATAACTTTTAAAATTCCTGTTTATTAGTATTCAAATATTATCACTTATTACTTTATAATTACGTTGCTGACATGCCAAAAATGGTTTAGTAAACTTTTTTATTTTTATTATAACTAGTTTGTGCCTTTTTCATTTGGTCGTTTATTAAGTTGTTATACACACAAAAAGCAACCAGGGAAAAAATTATAAATTTAAAAATTTCACCACTCTTTGCATGAGTACAACAACTAGGAATTGAACTTTAAGGCCAATGATTGATCTGGTTTCTTCCCATAATCTATCTAATTTCTGATTAACTTTCTCTTGTCTCCCCTTAAAAGTCAAATATCACTTTTCATTTATTCCTGTATTATCTACTTTCCAATTTCCATTCTCCTTTCTAAAATGTAGTATTAAAGTTCAATGAAGTTGATATCAATATTCATTGATGTATATATATAATTTACACATAATATAATTATTAATTCTTCAATATAAAATGATTATCAAAGGTTTTCTTTTGACTTATGAATTTTTGATGTTATCAATTTCATTTAAATTAAATCAAATTAATTATTAGATTATGCAATAATAATATAAAAACTAAAACTAAAAAAAATAATAAGAACCGGCCAAATGATAAAATATTCTTATTACAAAATAAGTTTTTAATTTTAATTATAAATTCCTATTAAATCAGTATGTTATCTAGTCAGTATTAGGTCATTTTTCTTATGGCTGTTGTAGCAGGTATAATTTTTATGAAGGAAACTTCCTAAATATTTGCAATTTTACGTTCCTTGTAATCTATTTCACTCTGTTTATTTTAAAATTAGAATGAATTGACCGTGTATACAATTTTATGGTAAGATTATTATCCCAAACATCTCAGAGGCTTTTATTGATATTTTAATTTTGAAGCAAGGTATGAGTATTTTAAAACAAAATTGTCTATACAATTTTAAATGATTTCTAACTTACTTTAAATATCAATAAAAACCTCAAAGGTTTCCTAAATAATAATCTTTTTAATTATTAATTGATATGAACAGTTATTTTTGTATTGTTAGACGTTTCTGAAATTAAGATTCAATCATTTATCTCCAATTGAACCAGTTGTATTATATATAATTTTTTTAATCATGTTATAGATGTTCATGTCGATTACTAAACAAGTATTGCGGAACAAAAAGGAAACCAAGGAACGACAGGCACATCAGAACAATGATGTAGTGAATTTAAGAAAAGGTCACTCAAAAGGAGCTAAAAGAAAATGTTGTTAAATCCAATTGTTGCTGTAAGTGTTTTCAATTTTAAGCTATAATTATTATTTTTTTCTTTTCAATTTTTGTTACCACATACACATTATTTTATTATGTGAATACACAAAGCTCAAAGTTTTTATTTCACATTTATAAAAATTAATAACAATATAAAACCATATTTTAGTTTCTGATTTTGGCTACCTTTTAATAAGTTTTGGTATATTAAAATACTCAATACCACTTGATCATTATCATATTGCTTATGTCTAATATATGTATTTCATTAAAATTATTTTAATTTTTTTGATTTATTATGTCAACACCAGTAAAATATAGATAAAATACATTTATGTCTTGCCTTAAGAATATGTATGTCTTTTAAGAACTTACGTTGTTATGATCCATAATTATGAAGTATAAATGTGATATACTAAATTAATTTAAATATATTTTACATTCTGATCAAAATATTCTAAATAATTAGCGTATTTTTTAAATTATTAATTGAATCAAATATCATAATCCAAATATTGCATATAGTTATCAAGAATTGTAATATTTTGTTGTTTATTACAATATTATTTTAAAAAATATACTTAGGGGAAAAATATACTGTGTACAATAGAATTTTGTTTATTCCTGTGAAAAGTGATCATTTAATAACTAAACAAATTCATTTGAATTATGTATTATGATTATTTATAAAAACTAACCATTATACCTATTTAAATTAGTATAAAAACATATTAAGCTTTTATATATACATTCAAATTATACTGTTTTTATATTTTAAACTAAAAATATCAATATTTATTATTTACTATTATGAATTAAAATAAAATTTATATATTTCTAATTACAATATTATTTTAAACTGAAGTATTCAAATTATTGTATTTATATTATGTATTAATTATGAACGTCCCACAAGAATTTACTAGTTTAAAGTAGTAAGGTGATGCATAATCCATAACTCTTAAATTTAGTAAATCTGTTCGTGAAAATCTACCCTATATTATAATGTAATCAAAATGTTTTGTTATTTAATTATATCAATACAATTACAGTAATCTCAGATTATTAAAATATATTACCATAAAAGGTATTGAGTCTCATTAATTCTATAATTTATAAGTATTTCTACTAATTAAAAAAAGAAAACAAATAATAATTTAATAGTCTGAACAAAGCCTTACATGCAGTATTGAGATATTAATTGTGTCCCTTAACCTACATGCATCTAGATATATTATAGTTCAAAACATTATTAAATAAGTTAAAAACAAATAATGTTAACTTTAATTCAATATTAAAAATGAAATGTTTTCAAATTACAATATTATGTGTTAATATATCTGAGAAATTAATTATTGTAATAGGTAAAAAAAACTGTTTACTTTGAAACTCATTTAGGTTTTAATCGTTACATGTAAGGTCATAACTTATTGGCATGTATTTCAATATTTGTTTTAGCATTTATAAGTTGTACAATGTATTTTATTTTCATTTATATATTGTAAGAAAAACAGCAATGTAGGAAAAAATGTCTAAAATATGTATGCAATATATTATCATAATATAATACTAGTTAATCATTTTAAAGTTAAATTTATGTCGACCAATTATTTATCTTTTGAAAAATGATGGACCTTTTATAATTGTATTATATACCTACTGTCTTCCATTATTTTTTATATGTAAATATTCAGTTAAAATATTTAATTTATAATTAAACCTATAATTTAATAGATAGTCTGTGATGTTATATTTCATTGAACAAACATGCCTAATTTCTAGCTATCTTATTTGGATGGTAAATACATATTTTGAATAATGTGTTAATTTAGTAGTATGGATGAGTTATTCGTAATCTATAGTTGGTATCACATATCCGATCACTAATCAGTATACATTAATGAAAATAAAAACAATGTTACAAGAAAAATTAATCATAAAAGTATGGTATAGTTTTAATTTAACAAAAATATTGTCAACTGAGTTATTAAACTATACATATTTTTAAAAATAAAAGTATTGTACCATGGCCAAACAAATGTTATATTAATATCATAAGTTGAAGTTTGTTTAAGTTGTTAAAGTTTATTTTAGTTGTTAATCACATATTATGTATTGTGTTCAGCATTCCGCACATTCAGTTGAAATTGAATTTTGATTTTTTTTTTTTGGATAAACATCTAAATTTTACTTTGAAGAATAAATTTGAGTATTTTCTTTTTACGGTAGGTACAAGTGTACAACTTGTAAAATATTAAATAAAGCGCATATTATATTCTTATGATTAAATCCAAGCCTAGGTTTTTTTTACAAAGATTAGTGATTCCTATTTGTATAGATATAACAGTTTATTATTATTTCTTGGTATGTTTTCTAATATACCTAGAATAAAAATTATTATAATTGGATGGCTTTACTCAGTATAACTATACGTCTACAATCTACATGCATTATTCCGTTAATTCTTTTAATATGAAGTATATATGTTTAGAAATTCTATATTTTCTATCATGATAATTAACTAATAATTGTATATTATTAGTATGTATCAATGAATCGATTTGTAAATTTTAAATATTAATTTACATTTAACAAATAATATATAAATTATAATTAGTTATGATGTACTAAAATCTTTATGGCATACTAGTTCATTTTAATTATCTATGAAAAAAATATCTTATTTAAATAAACTGAGCAACTATGTTTAATAAAGTAATCTACTATTATACATTATAATATAATATGTAATAAAATGTAAACTTCTTATTATTACTGTACATTAAGTTAGTGTGTATTTTATAAATTAAAAAAGCAATACAATTTTTTTGTTCAACAATTATTCATTGATTTTTTATCTCATATTAAGCTCAAAAAGAAATGCAATTCCATTATATACCTTAATTTTGAAAATTTTACAGTATTGATGTAAAAGTAACAGAACTAAAAAAATAAAACAACTCTGCTCAATGAGAATAATGAAACTTATTTTGATAGTAATTCAGCATTAGATATTTTTAAAACTTATGTTTTTATTTGATTTAATGAAAATGCTTTAAGAAGACATACCTGCATTTGTTATTTGAGTCATACAACTGCATAACACAGCAAGTTCAGATTTACCTTTATTGTAATAGTTATTATGAAAATTAGCAACGTTATAATATAACATTTGTGCAAATTGGTACATTATCAAAATTAAGAACACTTTTTGTGTTTGTATGTCAGTTTTTTGTGATATTTTAATTTTCAAACGAGTTCTGAGCATTTTTAAACTACAATATCTTATATACTCATAGCTTGCTTTAAATGTATATACTGTTAGGTTAACTTTTAAGTTAAGTAAGTCAATAAGTACCTTCACTCTTATATAAAACGTAACAAAGCTATAAATGGGTACTGTTGTGCTTTTATTTGCTATTTGTAAAATGGAGACAAAATTTGGGGCAAAACTTCCTCTTAATTAGATTAGTACTCAATTTATATAATTAATTACCTCATAGCTATAGATACCTTAAATGTTTTAAACCGTTAAAATGTTTAATAAACAACTGCTTCGTTTAAAAAATGGATTTTGGTACATATTTTTACTTGGAAAATATAATAATTATATAACTATTTCAGTTTGAAAGTAAATTATATTATATGGTATTATTTAAGTAAACTATTGTATGACATACATATTGTATACAAAGTATTGTATTCGAAAACTATATACATAATTAATTATTTATTGGATTATCAAACCATGAACTGTAAATTGTTTTCTTTATAATATGTTTGTTTTTGTTATGAAGATCTCATGTATAATTTAAATTGATTGTAATGAATTTAAATCAATTTTGATAATAAAGTAAATAATATTCCTATATCCAAGCTTATTAAACAGATTGAATTCCTTCTGAAAAGAAAAAATGTGTAGATTATTTATTAATGAAAGAAAAGCTCGGGTTAGTTGGTTGTTAATATATGAGAATTGCCTACTTTAAAAAAAAAAGCTTTGACTTAAAAATTATTATTGTATTACATTTAAACTGTTTTAAACAAAACAAGCCACCCTTGCCTGCAGCCTCAAAATATTTACTCAACCAATGTTATCATAAAGAAAAATGGATTTATGGTTGCAATGTGCACAATTTTAAGTATTAAAAATTAAAATGTATACATTTTTTCTTGTATACTTTGCCACTTCAGAAAATAATATTAATTAATCAACCAAAATAGAAGTGGTATACATAGGTAATAATAATATATAGGACTGGCGACTAGTCCTAGGAGTAATCGTACACGTTTATTGAACTGTCACCAAGACGTCAAGAACCTCAAGGTCGTTTTTGATCTGCACAATAATAAGACAAGTAATGTATATAATAAATGTATTTATTCATGTCTCCGAGTATCATCATTATCGTCATCGATGACGTTCGCTAGTCTCATTAATTTATCTCACACTCGCTTTTTACACTTTCTGACAGTGTATATATTTACATAAATAACGCATGCATGTTGCACGACGTGTGTACCGCGTGTATTTAGTATCATATTATTATTATTATTATTATTATTATTATTATTATTATGTAGGTGCTCTGGAGTCGCACACAATAATGTTATGTTATAATAGGAAACGCGTAAATAATGAATCCAGGCACGTGTGTGTATTATAGTGGCGGCGCGTAAGCGTAATAATTGGTAATTGAACGTGATTAACGCAATTCGTATCTTGGGGCTAGAAAGTATAAATACACGACGAGAGAATCTACGGAACATCAGCGGCGGAGGAGGAGCGACATCGCCGGGAATCAGTTTTGAAAAGCGAATCGGCGGCGCTCGTAACAATAATAATAATTAGCGGCCGGACGCCGAGTGCATAATATTACGATGGCATGCCGCGGGATCGACCTACTTGTCATTGCCGGATGTAGGTCAGTCAGTAAATGTGTACTTACGAGTGCGTAAGAATTTTTTACAATTTTGTTATTGTTGTTCTAAATCGTTGAAATAGCTTCAAACGTGTGCTACGCGTTTATGATTTATGTATTCAGTGTTATGTATATATTAATCCTAATTCATGGCATTGTCGCATGCTATATTATACCTTACTGTCGTTTGAGTCATGGACGCCAAAAGAAAATATTTGGGTCTAAATAATACATATTTTCGTTTGCCGACCTGCCTCATGCCGGATATAAAACATTCTAATTTTTATCAAAATTAAACCATGTATTTGATTTTTCACTGATAAAAATATCATGTTTGATGTGCCGAATTATATTACTTATTGCGCAATAATGCTAATAAAAACAATATGGGTACAAATTGTTTTTAGCACATTGATTTAATATTATGAAGAAATCAAAAAACTTGGTGCACTTGTGTTCATTCTAATTAGGAACGTGTTGTAATATGTTTTATATGGCTGATACGATACCCCTACAACTGTTCTGAGAAGTAAGAACCTGCTATTGAATATTATAAGTAATATTCCTATTTGGAATTTAAAAAAAAATAATAATAAACGAATAATTAGACATAATATTATTATTCTTATTAATATATTTATCACTTTAGGCTATCAGATCATAAATTCAAAACATTATATTACTATAAACAGTAAATACGATCTTGTAAAAATATATTAATATATTATAATATATCTTCTTGCTT